GGAAGTCAAAATGATAAGGGATTTTAAAGAATATTTCGATTAGCTGAAAATGAGCTCCGAAAAGGAACTTAGGAGAAAATGAAGTTTTGGACAAAAAAGAAATTTCAAAATGTCTTTTTGGAAACAAAAACTTCAGTAAAAAAGATTTCTTTTAGAACATTCAGAAAGAAAATGTATATCTTTTCGTGCAAATTTTGATGAAATTCTGATTTACTTCATTTTGAACAGAAGCAGATAATGTTACAAAATTTTTTGGATAAAATACTCCCTTTTCTCAAAATTATCTTTACAATAAAGATTTTAATGCAACATGATGTGTTCATAGTATATTGTATTTATAGATAACGACTAAATTTTTATCAATATTTGTTCTTCGTTATAAATTTGGTATTCTCATCGAAACCTTTGGTAGAGCTGTTGTTTATCCATCATAAATGTCCCTAGCTGAAATAATGTGAAATACATTTGTACATCATCGTGTTCTGTTCATTGAACAAATGTTACCGGTGTTAAGAATATGAAAAAAAAAAATTTCTATATAAAAACGTGTTTGCAAGCTAATCTCAATATATTGTGCCTCATCATGTCATGAAGCTGACTAATAATATTCCATTGCAAATTCCTTTAGAAGGAATACTCGTTAACTTCCCTGTTGGCTGCCTTACGCCACATATAACAACGACGCCAACATCATTACAACACTAAACATAGTGCAAATGAAATGGAGAAAAAATAAATTACGTTCTTCTTTCTGTTTAAATGATGTTATGAATGATGAAATGTAAAGATAACGAACAGTGATCAATCTCAAAAGTCCATTTAAATAATACAAACTATGATCAGAGCCAAACAAAAGTGGGATGAGGTGCCATTGAGGAGTGTCTTCGTGTCATGAACAGGTAAACGGAAACATCTCAAGTTAAATCAGTGTGAAAATAATGGCCTAACAATTTGTATGAAAGACGACAGTCAACATTCGACTTAATGATAGATTCTATTTGCAAACAAGGTCGTTGTATCGACTAATGATTTTAGGAAATGTTGACTTTAAACTAGATTAACTTGTTATCCCTGTATCATCAACTTTTTTATCAATAGCGTGCCTCATTTTAGAAATTGTTCGTACATAAAAATTATTTGAAATTCTACTTCGATCTTTGCAATGCACTCAAACATTACGATAACATATTAACATATGAAAAAATTAATCCAGACAGTGATATCCACTTGTGTTTTAATTTTGTATCCACATGACAAACTACATCTATCGCAGAGACATAATATACATATATAACATGTAAAAGACATGATCTAAAGGTTTTTTTTTTTGGGGGGGGGGGGGGTTAGGTTGCGTTAAGTATAATTACACATCAACATTTTTTAAATCCGTCAGAAATATGTTCAAAGAATGCTAAAAAATTGAAATTTTGATCAACCCATAAACATTTTTTTTTCATTCGCCCTGTGACACTGCATGACTAACGCTAAATTAATTATATTGCCAAAATTACAGGTCATGAAATTGAATCTAAAAATATTCAAAAATATTCAAAAATATTCAAAAAATGGTTGTGGGTGGTTGTGGCCATTTTCAGACTATATTGATCTCCTTTAGAAGAAGAGCTCCATATAAAGATATACAAAAATGATCAAATTTTAAAACTAAAATTTATAAAATTTTTCTTTGCCAATTGATAGTTGATAGTTGACAGTTTAAGATATGATATCTAAAAACTTAAGTTACATCTGATGGTTAATTTGTTGACCCTCAGCCTCCTTAATAATTTTTTTAACAACAGGGTTACTTTTTCATTTTCATCAGATTGAAGATTTTGTTTTGTTCTCTTTTATAAAAGTTCTGTCATTTTCTATTTTTATTCAATTTACCTAATTAAAGAATTGAATCATGTCAATTTTTTTATCGTCTACTTTGTAATTCACACATAATTTCTAAAACCCGTGGAGTTAACGAAATTTCACGAAAGATTATCTTAAACTTCTGTGCTAATTTGTTTTCTGAAAACATGAAAATGCATACAAGGAACTTCTTTAACGGGAATATGCTACCAAATACTTGTAAATTCTGAGAAAATTTATCTGATTGTATATAAAATCAGCTAGGGATATAAGCACTTAAGACGACTTTCCTTTAACTTTTCAGAAAACAGTTCATAATTTCGCTCTGTAACTTACATGTATTTTCATAAGAAGCATATGTTTTTTTCAAAAACTAGAAGATGTAATAGTAAATTCTTAACAATTATAACAATTATTACACTTCAAAAGTCTTTTAAAAGGCATTAAAGGAGGGATGCATTTTTGGTAATTGTTTTAAAAGAGTAGTTGGATTAAAGGATTTTATCCATGAAATATTTCTTCTTCAAAATACAATATAACACTATAGTATAAGTAGTCAATCCGAAAAGATATATCTGTTTCCAAGCTGTCCGGTGAATAAGCGTTTTTCAATTTAAGTTTGATAACGCTTGCATAAGATTTCTGATTTTTTGCAAAACTTTTAATAAAGTTCATTTAAGATAAACTAACTCTAGTATGAATCACAATTAGAAGTTCATTGAAAATTCTACAATGAATGTTCAATATTTTGACACTGCAGATTTCAATGTCTTCCTTTCTTTCCTTTAAAAGACCCTTTTCTCATTTTCCTTTGGAACATGGCATGGCATATACATGTACTTCCATCTTTGAAACAGTTTCAGTCTTTAAAACGATAATTTGAAGAATGTTCGTTCTCATTACTGACCTTTGTTTTATAAGTTTATTAAATATTGATCCTTTGTTTTATGAGCTAATAAAGTACTGATCCTTTATTTTATAAGCTAATGAAGTATCCCTTTGTTCTAGTTTATCAATTCACTGTCAAGAATGATTATGTCAAATGCATTTATATTGTATTAGAAACATGACTCAAATTCTCATTCATAAATATCGAAATCCATGGAGTGCCATTAATTTTTAAAGCTAAAATACCCCATAATCAATTCTTAATCCCCGTTTATTGTGGTTGAATCGATCTGATTCAAATCATGTGGTGTCCAATGTATTCTGTTTCCAGATAATCTATTTACAAGATTTTTGTCAACCTCTTCATATTTTTAATATTTCATCAAATTTTAATTGCGTCAAACAGCTTATTCAAAAGTTTGAATTTCATAATTTTATATATTTAGAGCATTACTAGTATATTTTAAAAATTCTTTTGTTTTCTGGCCAATAACCACATCCTGTGAAAAAACAATAATTATGGAAAGATATATAGATATTTACAGTAATGAAAATTATGAAAATATTAAATCCTTTTTTTTTTTTTTTTTGGTTCCTACGAAATAAACACTAATACTTTGCAATAGATTATTTTAAAAAAAATGGAGGAAGAAGAAAAGAAAATGATTGATAAGAAGTTTCAAATCAAATTTTAGTTAAATGTTTTTTTTTTCCAAATATTTTTGAAAGACTAGGAAATAAGTTTTAAAAAAGAGTTTGTGATATTGGCGATGAAGATATTGTCCCTTTTCCATGAAATTATCAAAACAACCTCTCATCATTTCATATAAGTTCAACATTTTTCATGCTTATCTTCTGATCAGTAATTTACTGATTTCATTAAAAAAGATATCAGTATTAAAAAATAATAGATATTTTTTTGGTTTTTATAATTTCTTAATTTCTAATTGAAACAAGATTAAAAGAAAGTAATACATTCAATCATTAATTCCCAGGAGCATGGATTTGAAACAGTACAACAAATCAACCACCTTTCACACAACAAAGAACAAATAACAAAGATGCACGTATTATCCTTACATGAGAGGACAATATTTGTCGAATCTTTAAATGCTATGAATTACATTCCCATAAATACTTCCTTTGGTTTAAAACAATAACGAACACGATCTATGAATGGATAACTGATGCCTACAAGTGAGCGAAGAAAATACATTTAAAGGTCTGCCTTCAAAAGATAAAAATGCTTACAAGACTAGGAATTGTGGGACTTTAAACTACTTTTGTGTAGTTATGTTATAGTAGGTCGTCATAAATTTTTATTAATTTCCTTATATATTTTCATTGATAAACAAATGAGAGTCTAGACAGGAAAATATTGCAGTTTTATTTGTGAATGAAATACAATCTGTTTGACAATCAATTTAGGTTAAACAGTAATCGACATCACAAATAATTTTTGGAAAAAAATATATGCAACCCGATGACGAAAAATCCATCTACTTCAGTAGGAAGAAGAAAACAATTGTTAATTCAGCAATGAAAGCCTCATAATTTGACTAAATTTTGATATTGAATTTTACAGGAGTAAACTTACACTTCAAAAATATTTTAAATTTTGTATTATTGCAATTTTTGTATCTCGTATTAAAAAAAGCACGGTTAGCAGACATAGTCAGAATACAATAACAGAGGTTGTGAAATTAATCACTTCACAGGCGCGGATCCAGGATTTGAAGTTAGAGGGGGCGCCAAAAGTAGGCAGGGGGTCTGGGGGCCGCCCTGAGGCCCCCAGTGGGTCCAGGGCGAAGCCCTGGTGGGGGTCCAGGGGGCGAAGCCCCCGGAAGCTCCTGGATTCTAGAGATTTTGTAGGGTAAAAATGAGGTCTACCAAGTAGAAATTTTTACATTTTCTCGATGAAACTATGATTTACGCTAACTTTGACAATTTTAGGGGGGGCGCGCGCCGGGTGCGCCCCCCCTTAAATCCGCCACTGCTTCAAAATACACATTCTGCATCATCTGTAATTTTCGGTATCGATTTTGTGGGAACTATTGATAGATAAACTTCAATTCTTTTTAATCATTATTTAAAACTGTTATAACACAAAGATTTCTATCAGCAGTAATTTTCAAAGCTTTTATAATTCATGAAATTCAAGTGGGCACTGTATGGATAACTAAACTGATTATGGGGAAAACCAAATACTTATTTATAATTATGTTTTACAACATGATTTGGTTACAGTATTCAAAATGTGGTTGAACGATTCAGATGATCAGTTGACCTTCCGCAACTCTCGTTTATATTATAAATCGTCTTCTATGAACTGTAAGCAAAGTTTTCGCCAAAATCTAAATGCTAGTCTGTAAATGACATGAAATATTGAAGTAATATCGGTATTAACTGTAGAACTTGAATAATTTAGACATGGATTTTTCTTAAAATTTTTGTAGGGGAGATTGATGAAAGATTAATCTTGCAAAGTGAAGTACAAATAAGTAATGGCAGTGCTTCTTTGGAGATCGTTTACGTCATTGAGAAATATCCGAAACTAGCAGTAGGAAAGATCCGACTTCCAGAAACCGAAGAAAAGTGTCTCGAAATTCAAAAGGCTATTGAATCATCTACTAGAGGTTTATAAATCTCATTATTAGAACTGCATTGTTGCTTAGTTTTTTTGAAAATTGCTTTGATTTGTTTTTCAAATTGAAACTTTTGAAATTTCTGTTTAAAAAGAAAATAAAATACTAACAAACGTTAATTAAACCTATGTCGATATAGGAAAGAAACCCAAGCGTTTGTTGGTTTTTATAAACCCGAGAAGTGGAAAGAGGGAAGCTGAGAAAATCTACAAGAAAAAAGTACTGCCTATTTTTCAGTTGTGTAAAGTTGAAATAAACAAATATGGTAAGCATAAAGATTTTTTTTATGGTAAAAGTTGTAAGAAGAAAGGAAAGCCAGACTTCCGATATCCTTTAATTTCCTTATATAGGGTTATTCATCTTTCAGTGACAAACAGAGCCAACGAAGTCAGGGACTGTTTATTGAGAGAAAATTTGGATTTATACGATGGGTAAGTGTTTCTCAAGTTGTGTTCATCAATTACCCACCAATCATCTCTCTTCCTCTTAATAACACTCATAACAGTACTTTTGGGCTTTACTACAAAATGGAAAAATGTAGATTATGGCGTAATTAGTAACATTCGACAATAAAAAAAATTTGGTCTTTTAATCAGGGTGGTAGCCGTGGGTGGAGATGGAATTTACAATGAGGTTTTATCTGGATTAGTGAATGGACAAATGCGAGATATTGGTCTTAACCCAGATGATCCCGAATCAAAACTACCACAACTAAAGCTTCCAGTAGGAATTATTCCAGCAGGTATGAACATTAAAGAATAAAGAATATATTTTAATAAAATCCTTACAAACATAAAGACTCCATGTGTTAGATATGAAGCTAAAAATTTACCTTGTTTTCATAATGAAATTAAGAATCTGGCAAGATTTAAAGCCACACACTGTTAAGGAAACAAAAGCAGTTAATACATGAACGACGAAGTGGAAGTACGAGCCTTTCTATACACGACGTATTTTGAAGTGTTGGAGTGTTAAAGCAACTTACAATAACACTGAGGAGTTTAGCACTACAGGAAGTTTATTTAATATAACAATGAAATTGATACTAACTTGAAGATAAGAGCCTCGGCTTCTTACTGTGAAGCAGAAATACATGTTTATTTAGTTCATTTTCAAAAGATAGAATATGACTTTCCATCATGCCTATTAACAGAGGGGAAAACCGTTATATTTGCATTATTATATGATGAAGCATATCATGAATAGAAATAAATCAAAAGCTTGTTAGTGTCCTTAACATGTATTTTTCCTATTTATGAATACATATATGAAACCTTTATATTTGATAGGATCAGGAAATTATACAGCTTGGTACTTAAATGGAACAAAATGTCCTAAGACGGCTGCGATAAGAATCGTGATGGGTGACTGTGTTGCTACCAACATTGCAAGCCTTCATCAAGGCAACAAATGCTCTGGCTACTCGAGTCTCATTCTTGGTTTTGGTTTGTTTGGAGACGTTATGAGGGATTGTGAAAAATACAGATGGATGGGAACAAGCCGATTCAAAGGTAAAAACATAATTCAGGTATTGTTTTAAAGGTTGATTACTCTGTCAGTAACATAAATAGAACGATAGTGATAAACACTTTCTGTGATGTACTTTTGATAGTGATCCCTGTTGGTACTGTGTTGGGTAGACGACCAGTGAAAGTAGCCATATCATACATTCCCGCCGAATCTGACAATAACATGGAGATTAATAACAACACAGCTTCTCTTAAACCAGAATTCCATCGCCAGTCATCCGTACCTCCACCTAGTTCTAAAAAGGTTCTAGAGTCTTTCAAGAAGAGAACATTTTCTACCTCTGACATTCTTGAGGCACCTTCAGGTAGGAACATATTCTAAAATTACGTACTTCATTAAAATTTTTATTCTAAGAGTGTTCATTGATTTCTTTAAAAAAAAAGTTTAGGAAAACAATTTTCACTTTATTTTTTAGAATGGAAAACCACAGAAGATAGGGTTGTGTACGCAGTCGATACATATCCAATTACTATGAAACCGAAAGGAACAAAGATGGTGCCTCATTTTGGAGACGATTCTTTGAAATTACTAATTACGCGAAAATGTAAACTCATTGACCACATTCGACAACTGAAAGAAGTGGACGACGGGAAATCAACTTGTGTATGTGTTTACAGTTTTTTATCCAATAGAGAAAGGCTATATAATTACTAATAGATTGGAAAAAAAAAACCAAATGATCAAACATTCTTTTTGCTATTCTCAGAACATTGTAATAGATAACAACACCAGTGATAATATAATTGATGTTGAGTGACAGCAAACAAAAGTCACAAGAAGGTTATGAACTTTATCAAATTTCCGATTTTCCCCTGTTTTATCGTTTTCTTTCATCAATTTCACTGAACACTTTGTTTCTGAATTTCAAGGAGCACTTTAAACTGTCTGCTGCATGTGTTATACACAAGCAACTTATACAATTTTTCTTAGAAAAACTTCTCTTTTTTTGTGTACCTCTCAAATTTGACAAAAAATCCCCATGCAGAGCCATGGAAACTCAAGATTTTTTTTCTTTTAAAACAATCTCTCACCGTCATGTGGTCCTAGGCCAATTTGCATGCTGTTCATTAAAATCTGAACACAGTTCTAACAAAAATGCCATGTTAGGTTATTAAAAGATATCATACTCTGCTTGTCAGATGAGGACTAAAAATAGTACCTTGCTCAAATACGTCATTTTATGACGTCATATTACTATAATATTCATTATTTAGACAAGTTCATCATACGATTTCATTTATGTATGTTCCATGGATTTTTTCCTTTTATTTTCAGTATGAATTTGATTTCGTTAGAGCAATAGAAGTACAACGTTACAGAGTACGGGTTTTGAAGAATGCGTCAGAGGATTTCTATGTTAATTGTGACGGAGAAGTCATTCGCCTTGAGGAACCAGAGTTTGAAGTCAGGTACTTCAATAAAATAACCATTATTTCCCATTTTAAAGAAAAGACATGTGAAATATGGATTGACTACAAACACATACTAGTATGACGATATTATTTGTATATCAACTATACAATTTACTTAAGTTGTAAATCATGTAATATACCTGACAGAGTTTATTGAATTAAATCTTATATATATATATATTCTTTTCTAGCTTGCACAAGAAAGTTGTACAGCTTTATGGAAAAAGCAGAGAAGAATTAACATAGATACTTGAGATATTACCCTTGTTGATATTTATTGACTTTTGTCATATCTTGTTAATTGTCAGTATTATTGATATTTACACTCTGATTTACGTTTATTCTTTTATATATGTTTTTGCTTCGGTTTTCTTTTCTTTTTATTTTTTATAATTTATAAATAAAAAGAATATCACATCTTGTTTTTCGAGATATTTTGTTATCTAGTTGCTAGATGGGACGTAAAACAGAACAAATCATCAACAATCAAGTGAACAACGTATCTAATTTTGTAATCTTCCAGTTTTGCTCTATTTTTAGGTCACCTGAGTCACTCAGGTTAGTTAGTTATGGTAAGCTAGAGTGCCTCATCCAACATTTTGAATGTCATGGCCCCATGGTCAGGGGTTCTGGTATTATGGTTGGGCTCTTTTGATTATACTAAAAACCATAAATTCTTTGAAATCTTCTCTGTTCCTTGATAATGAGCAGATAAATTGAATGGAGTGCATGGTTATGATAAGCAATGGTGTGCCTCTTCCAAAATTGTGAATTTCATGGCCCTTGATGTGAGAGCAGGGCTCTATTGATTAAATAGTGAAAATGCATTATTTCTTTGAAAATCTTTTTTGACCTTGGGTATTTAGGATACAAACATAGTGCATAGTCATGATGATCAAGGATGCCTCTTCCAAAAATGTGCATTCCATGGCCCTTTGGTCAGGGGTTCTGATGTTAGGTTGGGTCTCTATTGATGATATAGTGAAAATGCATTAGTTTAAAACTTTGAAAATTTTCTCTTCTACTCCTTGGTATAAAGCAGATAAACTAAGTGCATAGTATGAGAAAGGGTGCATCTTCCAAAATCTGAAATTTGTGGCTTTAGGGTCAGGGGTCAATTCGACCACTTGGTCAAGTGTTCTACTGTTGGGCAGGGCTCTATTAAATTGTATTCTACTGAGAGAAGTTATTCCCCTTAGCTATTCATCTATGATAATTAATCACTATTAATAAGGTAATTGAAAGGCCAATTTTATAAGAGATTTATACAAGAATTTTTATAATAAACATGTATAATACAAAAAGTAGTTTCATAGTTCTTAATGATCAGGCGGACTTGTTAATTGTAGATAAATAGAAATGAGACAAAAATACCATATCTTTTTCCATGTCTGAGAGGGAATGAGATGGGTTTTCCAATAGTGCTCGGTTACTATTGTTTTGTTTAGTTTACAAGATAATAGTTACAAATGGGGCAGAAACAGGCAAGTAAATAGATATAGTTTAAGATTTATTAAGGAGTACTAGATTTATTATTTTGTTGATCCCTAATCATTATATTTCTCTTGCTTTTGGGCAACATAGTTCATCTTTTAGTTTGTTTTACTTTATACTTCTGTGGATCCTTTACAATGTTGTATTAATTCATAATCAGGTGACCGTTATGGGCATTGGGCCTCTTGTTCAATTTTTTCCTCCAAGTTTAAAGGAAGAGAAAATTGTTTTTAAGAAGACACCAATCATTCAATCAAAGCCTGTAAGAGAAAGCGTTTCTTTTCTTGTTCCTGTTAATGCTCATCTGTTCAAAAACTGATCTGCTTCGTTGAAAGTGTTTTACATTATAACTCACTATGAATACCGTAGTGTTATAATAAAAATGATTTTCTTTGTTGAGGAATCATTGAGGATCATCACATTCTGAACTTTGTATTTTTTATTCATAAATTGTATTTCCTCCTTAACTCTGATATTGACACGTGGAAAAATAACTTGATATTTTAATAGATAAATAATTAATACAATCAATTTAAATGCAGTGACGGGAAATTTCCGTAAATGAGGAACAATCCCCATTCATAAATAATATTGGAAAGATTAAAATAAAATCTCAAAATAAATTAACGCAAGGATGGGCTGATTTATATTAGAAACAGCTGTGTGCTGTATCCATTCTGCGTGAACAATTCTGTGAACGCCAATTTATTATAGTTTATCTGAGCATAAGTTCAACTATTTTCATCAAAGAGTGTCTGGCGCCCAACTGCCTATTATCTGGTCACAATGAAAGTCAAAATATGCATGTGTCATGTGTATGTCGTCAGTAAACTTAAACATACATAAAGTTTAAATTGCGAGAAGTCATCTAAGAAAATTCTTTTCAAGAACTATTAGGCCAGATAAGAGGTAATAATAATAACAATAACTAGAAACTCATTGCGAGCAATGAGAGGTCTTCCGTCCGATTCTGAAAATAAAAATGAAAATTCAAGCTGAAAAAGTGATAAAAGAAATTCAGACACTCTGGAGATTTAACCCTGGTCGTCAGCGTGAAAATCCAACGTGCTAACCATTAACCATTCACTTTTTTGCATCACTTCCTGTCACCACCGGAAGTAACGGCGACACACGATTTTCATACGATGCAAATAAACTGAGGATGGAATATCAGTCCTGAAAGTTTCAGACTTCAGTCGTTTATTGTTGCCGAGCAATTGTGAGAACAAATTTTGAGGACAGGAAAACACGCGACCGGAAGTGAATTTTATAAAAAATCTCTAACATGTCTCTAGACATTTGCAGTATCTACAACATGTATTAAAACATTTCAATTCTTTTTCTATAAGCGATATTTATGAGAAAGTTAAATATCGAAATAACGTATTTTTTCTCCTAAAACCGGAAGTTGACGTTTTTGTTTCTGGAGGAGTCTAACATATTTCAAAACAGCGAAAGAGATGCAATAAGGTGATGCAAGTGTTAATTTAAACAAGAAAAGTTGAATTTTTTGATTTCTTTGATCACTTCCTGTGACGACCGGAAGTGACGGCTGACAGTTTAACCTAAATGATTTTGCCTACTCTTCAAGGTGTATTACTCATATAAGTTTGTTGTCTTAATCTCTTACCGTTTCTGAGATCTCGCTCAGATGTTTTCTCATTTTGAGGACAGAAAAACACGCGACCGGAAGTGAATTTTGCGAAGATATTTGACGTTACTCTAGACATTTGCAATCTGAATAACATATCTAAAAATCATTTCAAATACTTTACCTATAAAAGATATTTATGGGAAAGTAAAATACTCAAATTATGTAGTTTTTCTCTTATAACCGGAAGTTGTCGTTTTTGTTTCCGGTGGGACCAACATATTTCGAAACTGCGAAAGAGTTGCAATAATGTGATGCTAGGTTTGATTTAAAAAAGAAAAGTTGAAATTTTCGATTTCTTTGAACACTTCCGGTGACGACCGGAAGTACTGACGACGAAAACCAAGGTAATTTCGAACATCTAGAAATCATGGTCTATCATCTCTAACAAGTCTCCAGTTCATATCTTTAGCCGTTTCTTAGATCCTTCGAGGACAAAATTTCATTTTAAAATCAGGAAATTGTCCATAACTTGGCACTGGAACCGAGTTTACCAAAAAACGGAATTTTATATAAAATTCATATAAAGACCTTTTATCTCTGAAAATTTCAAAGAAATTCTTTGAATAGTTTTCGAGAAATCGCGTGCACAAAATTTTGTCTAAAAAAAAAAGAATAATAATAATAAGAAGAAGAAGAAACAATAGAATCACTATAAGGTCTTCCGTGGAGACGGAAGACCTTAATAATAAAGGTCAAAATTTTCTTATTGAGTGTAATCCAAGTTTTTTTCCCCAAGTCATTCCTCGGGTTACTTGTTTGGAGCCATTCAGGAGATCAAAGTTTCACAAGTATAGAAATAAGGGTAAAAATCTTCTCGACAACAACATTGCCACAAATATAATATGCATGAATCAATATATGTTGTATATCCAATCAGAAGTGTCACTTAGGGTAAGGATGGTCCAATAAGACTCACTGTATGTTGTTTAACGTACCATTCCAGAAATTTTCACTCATTTAGAGACGTCACCTATGCCGGCGAAGGGCTTCATATTTAGACTATGTATACATTTTTTGCTTAATATTGCTTTGACATCAAACCAACTCCTGCGACAGGATATCAAAAGGGTTTGTTTGTTTGGGTTTTTTTAACGTCTCTTCGAAAATTTTTCACTTATATTAAGATGCCACCATTATCTGGTGAAGGGCTGAACTTATGACCTTAGAGCAGTGAGGGATCTTTTTCGTTCCAGCATCTATTGCAACACAGAACCTCAATTTATACGGTCTCATCCGAAGAACCGATCTCCGCGTCACACAGTGGATTCGAACCAGCGACTTAGGGATCAACTCCTTACTTCGCGTCTTTAGAGCGAACGCTCTAACCATTGCGCCACGCGGACAATATCATAAGGAAGAAAAGACAAAGGCTCCATAAGAAAGATCAACATAAAGTATTTTCAGGTGTTTATTATTCATTGAAACTATTTAAGATATTGCTTCTTAAACGTAAAATGTATGTTAAAATATAGATTCATTGCTATAGTACATAAATAAACGATGAAAGACATATATGCATGATACACACTAATTTAGGGAATCACCAGTATAGGGATCCATACTAGTATATTTTGAGTGAAAAATTATGCAACCATTTTCTAGAAATTACATAAAACCTGTTTTATATCATTGAATTTCTATCTATGAATCTATTATTTTAAATATTAATTTTCTTGATATGCAATTAGCACGGAAAACTTTCAAATTCAATTTTTAAATCAACCTTCTGCATGCATTCTAAGACCAAATTTGTTTTAACATGTTGTTATAACCGTAAAAAATTGATTTGCAATTTTCAAAAATGAATGAGTGAAGTTACTCTGAATATGTCTTAACATTTTCCTCTCTGTTTGTGGAGATTTTTGTACCGTATTCATTCATTCATTGAAACATACACATTGAAAAGTTGCATTATTTCGCATTTCGGGCTATTCTAGTCATGTGTAAATATTGAAGATAATGCAAAAAGCAACATCATCTATGACAGTAAACTGTATAAAAAAAAAAAAAAAAAAAAAAAAAAAAACACAATTATTTAAAAAAAAAAATAAATAGAAGAATGAAAAAAGCAATATAAAATTATCAACAGAAAAAAAAACCCACAAGCAAATAACAAAGAAAAGAACGACAAAATAAAATAAAAAAAATAGACAAAAATGAAATAAAATGAGCTGCACATGGTTACAAGGTTCACCTGAGTATTTCCATTAAAAAAAGATCAAATAAATGTTGCAATTAATCATGGCATAAGAAGCTTGAATCAAAGCAATATGGGGATGCTTCAATACTAATTTAAGTTACGTGGCCATGCTATTGTGAAGACTTTTTTTCAAAGAAAAGATGTTCTTTCCTATATATATGCATGGTTGAATTTTATCGTTGATTTAGCCTCATCTTAAACATATGATTCAAAATGGAAAAGAATTTTCTTTCTAGTATATACTAGTATGCTTTTTGTAAAATTAGCTGTCTACTTCCATCAAAATTTGTGAGTAAACTTAAAGAATATTGTGGGAGGAGATGAATGAAAAGGAAATGTAATTGTGTTTGTATCTTGTTTTCATTCACATGAAGCTATTATTCCATATATACTGCTATCGCCATTTTCTTTTTGATGGTAAAGTACACCATGATATATTACTGTAAAGCCTGAGGTTCCTGATCAGGAAGAACGTAACAACACGATACAATGCCGAGAAGGAGGACACATTTCGTTATATCTAATTTAAGATACATTGTTATGAGCAAAACAAATTACCCTAAATATTTTATTTAAAAACATTTCCTCCAATTTTAATCCATATGGATACTTGGTATCATGGGGCTAAATCGAAGATAAAATTTTTCAACCAAGCATGCATACAGGAAAGAACATCATTTCTATAAAAAGTCTTCTCCACAATAGCAAGGCCACTTTACTTAAATTGGTGTACAAGTATCCCCACGTTGTGTGTATTCAAGCTTCTTATGCCATGATTAATTGCAACATTTATATGGTCAACATTTTTCATGGAAATACTCAGGTGAATGTTGTAGCCATCGTTTTATTTCATTTTCGCCTTCGTTTTGGTTTTATTTGGTCATTCTTTTCATTGCTGTTTGCTTGTGTTTTTTTTTGTTCTGTTGCTAATTTTATATTGTTTTTTTTATCTTATATATATATATATATATATATATATATATATATATATATATATATATATATATATATATATATATATATATATATATATATATATATATATATATATATCTTTAAATAATTGTTTTTTTTCCCTTTTTTTTGTCAAAGATGATATTGCTTATTGCATTATCTGAAATATGATACGAGTTAAATTCCTTGCCGATTTTGAGTCACCGTACATTTTCAATATTTCGACCAAAAATCAGTCATGTTAATGACAACTAAAGTTGACAAATATTGTAGTTTTAGTATGTAGAGTATAATCTCATTTAAAGTATTAACTGATACGTTTTGGAAGTGATTCCAGTTCAGATCAAAATATATTACTCTGAAATTAATTTTTTTTCTTTAAAGGTTAATGATTTTTACAAAGAAATTCTATTCAACTGTTAAATTACCAAATCTTAAAAACCCTTTTTACCTCACCTTCCATTTCTTTCAAGATTTAACCCCCCCCCCCCCCCCCCGCAACACACACACACGAAATAGGATTTTCTAGTTTGGATAGTTTAAGTTTTTTTTAAAAATTTTATTTATTTATTTATTTTTGTTTCCTTGTTTTTGTTTTTGGCTTGTCAATTATTTTTTTTTTGGGGTGGGGGGGGTGGGGGTGGGGGTTGCCCCCCTCCAAAATTTTAAAAAAAACGTTGCTATGGGCCTATAAAGAAAATGTTTTCTTAAGATAATGATATTTCGTTTGATTTAAAGATAATGTAAATATTATACAATGGTTATAGCCAGGGTTTATTCCTATGTATGTATAAATAGGATTAATGCATTTTTTTTTTACTGAAATATAGTAGTTTCTTGATATAAATTAATCCTTCTGTATACTTCTGTATATCTACTGGTTAATCACTTATCACTGTGTGCAGATTTTTCAAAATATTTACAAAATATGGGCAGTGAAGTATGGGCACCCTGAATGGTCAATCAGTGGTCAGGCGATAATGTCCAAAATCAAAATGCTTTACAGATAAAATAGAGTTTGTTTGAATATAATGGACAAACCACACCGGCAATACTTTTGATATTTCATTAATTTTCTCTTCAAAATGTACCAACCACGGAGAGGATCCTCATCTCAGTTAAACCACTCATTGGCCAGCGGTTTCTATCCACTCATTATACATGGTGGCAATTATCTCTAAACCATATGTGTATTGTACAGAAATCTCAGACTGTCCAATAGCAGATAATTGTTATCTGCTAAAAGAGGGTTTCTCTTCTGGAGAGCAGATATCTATTATCGAAGAAAGTATTTATGTCGATAGTTAAGTATTTATTCTCTTTCGTTCCTTTTACGTCCAACTTGCTAACTCTAATAATTTGTATTGCATAACCTTCCATTCTAACATTGGACAACAAATATAGTTCTGATTAAATGAATAAACTGATGTACAGAGATTGTTATGATAAAAAAGTATATGCCATGAAAATAATACAGCTACGGTGTAATTTCTAAAACATTAGATGAAAATGAACTCATTGCATGGATCTTATAAAGGTAAGTACTAAATATATATGTCTTGAAATGCCTACTTAAGCTAGAGCATGTGACGTATCCTTATGTTTTTTTTAACGTAACTCTCGAATAGCCACAGTTATCTCTATGTTCAAATATTCAATAAAGCTACGAGTATGAAAAAGCCATCGTTACATATCACAATTTCATGTATTAAAATAATGAAGTCTTTAAACTGTCTAAGATTTCAACACATTTATGAAAGAATGCAAAAAACTACTGGGAAGTTAGAAGTATATTTTTGAAGGTATTGCATTCATTAATTGATAAATGTGATTTTCCATTTCTTTTTTTAAATGATATTATCTGTACATTGCAAGTCCACTTACTGAACCCAGCAATTAGTTTATAAAGATACAAAAACTATTGACGTTAGTTATGGCTAATTTAAAGCTATGATTAAAAACCTTTTAATGTCCGTATATAAAATCTGCGTGAAATACAATTGCCTTGAATAGCTAAAGAAGGGGATATTTCTAGAAACAACAAACATCATATAAAAATTTGCCATTGTAAACAAACTTTTTGGACATCCCTGTATTTGTCAATTTGCTGAAAGTAGTGAAACAAGGATTCCGTAATTCTTATAAGGGAGAATTTTAAATGGTTTTTCCAGGTGTAATTAAACACTTCATATACCAAATGTTAATACACATGTAGTTAAAAGCTAATATACATCAATGTGGCTAATACCAAACAGACTCAGTGCATTCGTGTGCGAATCATATCCCCAATTAAAAGGCATATTCTGGTTAATGTGTCCTTCAAGTAGTATGGAACGCCAAAGCTGCCTTATGTGATAGGTCTTCATTATGATGAAGTGGTTTTACATTATTTGCTGTGGGTATTTCATTATGGTGGGGTACTTTTGCATTGTATGATGTGGTTTGACTTTCTTCATTATGATGAGGTGTTTTTTTGCATTATATCCTGTGGGTATTTCATGATGATTAGGTGATTTTTCATAATATGGTGTGGGAACTTCATTATGATTAGGTGATTTTTCATAATATAGTGTGGGAACTTCATTATGATTTGGTGATTTTTCATAATATGGTGTGGGAACTTCATTATGATTTGGTGATTTTTCATAATATGGTGTGGGAACTTCATTATGATTTGGTGATTTTTCATAATACGGTGTGGGAACTTCATTATGATTTTGTGATTTTTCATAATACGGTGTGGGAACTTCATTATGATTTGGTGATTTTTCATGATATAGTGTGGGAACTTCATTATGATTAGGTGATTTTTCATAATACGGTGTGGGAACTTCATTATGATTTGGTGATTTTTCATAATACGGTGTGGGAACTTCATTATGATTTTGTGATTTTTCATAATATAGTGTGGGAACTTCATTATGATTTTGTGATTTTTCATAATATGGTGTGGGAACTTCATTATGATTTGGTGATTTTTCATAATACGGTGTGGGAACTTCATTATGATTTGGTGATTTTTCATAATATAGTGTGGGAACTTTATTATGATTTGGTGATTTTTCATAATACGGTGTGGGAACTTCATTATGATTTGGTGATTTTTCATAATACGGTGTGGGAACTTCATTATGATTTGGTGATTTTTCATAATATGGTGTGGGAACTTCATTATGATTTGGTGATTTTTCATAATACGGTGTGGGAACTTCATTATGATTTGGTGATTTTTTCATAATACGGTGTGGGAACTTCATTATGATTTGGTGATTTTTCATAATATAGTGTGGGAACTTCATTATGATTTGGTGATTTTTCATAATATGGTGTGGGAACTTCATTATGATTTGGTGATTTTTCATAATATGGTGTGGGAACTTCATTATGATTTGGTGATTTTTCATAATATGGTGTGGGAACTTCATTATGATTTGGTGATTTTTCATAATATAGTGTGGGAACTTCATTATGATTTGGTGATTTTTCATAATACGGTGTGGGAACTTCATTATGATTTGGTGATTTTTCATAATATGGTGTGGGAACTTCATTATGATTTGGTGATTTTTCATAATATAGTTTGGGAACTTCATTATGATTTGGTGATTTTTCATAATATAGTGTGGGAACTTCATTATGATTTGGTGATTTTTCATAATATGCTGGGGTTTTTTCATCATGGTGAGATGATCATTAGGAAAACTTCTCAAATATACTCGAAGCATGAAAAAATTTTCGGCTTAAAATGTTACTTATACTACAAGTTTTCTTTCAGCAAAATATGAAATGATTCATTTAACCTTGGAAAATTCTATCATAATAAAAACCATTTAAGTTTCTTTTTAATGATTTAGATAATGGAAAGTATTTTCTTAATTCCTTTCTACTTCTTTCTGAGATGAACAAGCCACTAACTTTTCTTACATCTTATGCGCAATTCATGGATCTTAATTGCAATATCTACCACTCTTCACCAAATGATCATCAAGTTTAGAACTTCTTAGAGATGCAAAACTTTAAATGTTCTTTGGGGGGGGGGGCTACAAGCAAGAACAAAGGTAAAGGTAATTGGCTTGGAATTTGTATTGGTGGTATTTCAAGATACTTATATTTCATGTATTGAAGAAGTTACTGCCTGCGGTTAGTTTAATGTTTGAAGAAAATAAATAATACAGACTTTTTAACGTTTCCAACGAAAGTCAGACGATTGCCTAATGTCATCTCAGAGAGCGACATGTTTTAGTATTTAGAAGAAGTATTCAAAAATAGAACCCCTCTAGACTCAAACTTCAATTCTGTGAAAAAGAGCGGCCAAACACGGGATACTTAACTAGCTCTCTATTAAATGTAAGTTTCAGTTTTTGGAAATAAAAGGGGTGTGTGTGTGAGAGAGAGAGTGTGTGTGAGGGTGTGTGTGTGTGAGGGTGTGTGTGTGTGTGTTAAGAAGTATACTTGTAAAGTCCTTCAATCCGGCCTTGTTTCCTTAGTCGGCAGATTTTATCTTTAATAAGAATATTGTGGAGAATACGAACATTTCGTGGAGAAAAGAAATCTTAACTTCTTCTCTATATATATCCTCTTAAGCGAAAATTTTCGATAATATGCAATGATAAATTTCAAGTGCTTCTTCTTCTAGAAAATAATATGAAGAGCTAGCTTTGCTTGAATTGAACACTTGAAAAAAATTCACTCGCTTGAGCAACTGAATACAATTGAAACACAACACTAAATCACTTGTAAAAACACTTGCTTCTTCTTTTAAAATAATTTTTCCTTCTCGGTGATTTCGATAATGATAAAAATTAAAACATCAAATCACCATGGGACAATGGCAATAAACTTAATTTAAATTAATTTTACGGACATATGATACCCAAAATTCCGGAGAAAGTTGAAATTTGATCATATGTTTCTTTTTTTGCCGCTATTAGGTCCAAATTAATTTCTTACATGTACGTGATAAAATTAGGTTAAATTTGTATTTATTAGGCGATTTCCATTTTTTAAATGTTTTGCATAAATTTCAATATAGATACATGTAAAAGTAAAGAAATGGGGAAAATGAAAAAATATGGCTTGCTTGATAGGGATATTTCGTGATAAATATGTTTTTTAATAATAATCTTGACTGTACGACCTGTTTAACATTTTTTTTTTTGCGACCTCGACAATATTAGCTACATACGAGGAAAAAATATTGCGTGAACATGGGCAGCTGCCATAAAAAAGCATATTGACTAGAATTGCTTAAAGGCAGGTTCCATGTGACACAAAAACAAGTTCCGTCTTTCCGACTTTTAATTTCATGGGTGATCAATCGAAGTCGTTTTATATATTCAAAATAGGTTAAAAAAATATTCAAAGTCGATGATAATATTCATGAACATGCTCATGGATTGGATAAAATCTCGAAGTGAAATATTTTGAAGACAATGTTAATATCCATCAGAAATTCTTTTTTTTTTCTAAACATAAATCAATTATATTTTAACTTCCATCAAAAGATGATAAAAAAAAATCTGCAAAATTATAAACCATATTAAATGCAATATAGTCATCAAGGGAAAAAATACGAGGGATGTCCGTAAAGTTCGGGGACAGGCGTTAATTTTACAAATTAAAACATTATTTACTATAAAAGCTGTATTTTGTTATCTTTCTTTTTAAGCTTTTATTCCTATTTGCAATGTTAAGAGACAATTCAAACCATTAAATAGAATATTAAAGGTTTTGATAAGGAGGTATCGTTACCCGGAGCAATAGAAATTTGTCTGATATTCTGTTTCGAATTTTCAATTTCCTTTCCTCAGTTATGCATAAGAATTGCTCTAAAATTAATTTTAAAAAAACTGTAAATATTATGATATAGGCAAAAGTAATCTTAAAGGACTTGTCCCATGTTTTTAAAAAATCCTTAACTTTATGAAAAATATTATCTGCAGCCTTGTTTATTAAAATATTGAATAAAATAAGACTAGCAAATTAAAATTTTTATCGTTCACATACACCTCTGAAATTCATATAAGAATTCATAAATATGTGTTGTGGATTGTCTGAAAGTGTATCAAATTTTGAACGCTTGGAGCAGCGCGCAGTTATAACGTTTTGTATGAACTTTTGGAAAAAAAGAACTCAAATTTATAAAGAAATCAATCAAACACTAACTCCAGAGTCAATTCTCAGTAATATTTAAATGGCACAACTTATTTTCTGATGAACGTTTGAGTTTGGAGGATGATACCGGTATGTGAGAAGGCATTCCGTTCTTACGGGCATCGCAGGAAGGATATTTGCGACTAGCTATAGGAGCTATAAATAGGTAAAACGGCATAATAGATGAGATTACCTTGAGAAAATCTAGGGATTTTTCATATACGCTAGTTCGCACTTATGACGTCTTTATGAACTTTATGAACTTTTTGAAGCTTGATAGTTATATTTTCAAATAATTGCATTTTCTTGAAAATTGACAAATGATACAAGTAAAGTATAGACTAAAAAATTAAGCCTTATTCCTTTTTCTTTACTTAAACCAAGGTCGTGATATACATGCACTTTGCGGACAACCCTCGTAAATATTGACGCTTTATTTCAGGCAAATTCTCATAAAGATTTTGCCTTAATAAAAAGTAAAATAAATTAATCCCTCTGTATATCTACTAGCTAATCACTTATCATTGTGTGTAGATTTTTCAGAATATTTAAAAAAAATTTTGCAGTAAAGTATGGGCAGCCTGAATGGTCAAAAGGTGGTCAGGTGATAATGTCCAAAATCAAAGTGCTTTAAGGATAAAAAAAATTGTTTGTATATAATGGACAAATCATACCGACAATACTTTCCATATTTCATTAATTTTCTCTTCAAAATGTACCAACCACGGAAAGGATCCTCATCTCAATTAAACCACTCAATTGGCCAGCGGTGTCTATCCACTCATTATACAAGGTGGCAATTATCTCTTAACCATATGTGCATTGTACGGATATCCCAGACTGTCTAATAGCAGATAATCTTTACTCATATATCATACTTTTTAACAATGTTTCCTGGAATTTTAGGTTACTGACATTCTTCAGAAGGAAATGTCTTGTAAAAGTAAAACACCTAGTAACCCATATATGCTCCTATGGTTGGAAAGAGCTAAATACTTCCAAGAATTGTAGAGGGTTTCTTCTCTTCTACTAAAACTTTCTCTTCTAAAGAGCAGGTATCTATTATTGAGGAAAACATTTTTGTTGATAGTTACGTATTTGTTCCTTTTCGTTCCTTTTAGGTCAAGCTTTCTAATCCTTCCATTATAAAATTCGACAACAAATATAATTTGATTTCTGATGTAATGAATAAACTAAGATGTTGAGATTGTTATGATAAAAAAGTATATGCTATGAAAATAATACAGTCATGGTGTAATTTCTAAAACATTTGATGAAAATGAACTTAGTGCATGCATGCTATAGAATAAAGTACTATCAATATGTACGTCTTGAAGTGCCTACTTAAGCTGGAGCATAAGTGACGTATCCTTGTGTTTTTTTTCATAACTCGAATAGCCACAGTTATCTCTATGTTCAAATGCATCCATTTATTATTCTAAATTAGATCAAATCGCGACGTTTTATTCGGTAAAGCTACGAGAATGAAAAAGCCATCGTTACATATCACAATTTCATGTGTAAAAGTAATGAAGTCTTTAAACTAGATATCATTAGAGATACATGTATAATGTATATTACATGTAATTGTATTTCTTAATAATTTTAATAGGATTTGTCCGAGATTTCTACACAATTATGAAAGAATGAACAACGATTGGGAAGTAAAAAAGTATATTTTTGAAGGTGGTGTGCATTCATTTACGAGGGGCATTTGAAAAGTTCTGAGAACTGTTTGATAAAATATTAACCGTTTCACAGAAGTTGATAAATTTGATACCATGAAAAGAGCTGGAAAATTTACACTCATTTCGATGTCACTTTCTTGTTTTTATGACGTAATAACTCCGAAAATGACGCCAGAATCTCTAATGTTTAGTATACTGAAAAGTCGCGTTTTTTGCCGACACGAAGATCGGAAAAGTTCTGTCAAATGCCTCTTTGAAAAAATATTTCAAAGAAAATTTGTATGAAGGTAGAATAAGACTGCAAGAATGGTACGTAAATCAGCAATTCCATATTTCATTTTATGGTTAATTTATAAGCATGGTTTATGTCCGATTATGCTATTTTAGGCATTTATTCAAGATTTCTATTTACATGA